GTGCATGCCACGAAGGCGCTGCACCGAGGGGTGACCAAGACGGTGGTGCCAAAGGACGGTCTGGTGCGACTGGGCGCGACACGAGCAGGGGGCCGCTAGCTGACCTGACGCAAACGCAGACGCAGACGCAGCTACCTGAGGGGACACAGTGGTCAGTGTGTACTGACTCGAGCCAGGCGCTCGGGTGAACGTGGCCAGGTGCCGACCAGTCCGGGAGCATGTACATTGGGTCACACGCTGACCTCCAGGAGTGAACTGGTCAACCCACACATCCTGGAGGTCAGCTCCACTCACCAAGTTCGTAGAGAACGAGGGGAGGTGAAGACCTGACAGTGAGTCAGACGGAACTGCCGGACACGGCAGAACCGTGGAGGAGTGTGCAAGGACCGGGCCCCCAGAGGGGTCCGCCAGGGAGACTGCAACCGGCCGACTGAGCGGCGTGAGTGTGGTGCTGTCGCGAAAGAAGGAGCGGGAAGCACCTGAGTCAAGTGTGAAGGTGTGCAAGGCCTCAGCAGGCGCAGTACCAGAGAGAGCAGACTCACTAGCACATGGAGCAGCAGACTCACTAGCACCTAGAGCAGCAGCCTCACTAGCACCTAGAGCAGCAGCCTCACCAGCACCTGAGGCAGCAGACTCTATACCTAGGTCCGGCGGCGTACACAGGTAACAGTCACCCTCAACACTAACAGGCAATGCATACATGGCAGATAGAATAGCATCAAAGTCCAGAGCAAAGATATCCACTCTGCCTCAGCAGCTCCACCCAGCTGGGGAGCTCAGCCGCGTCACCAAACTCTGTACGCCAGGCGTCGCTCAGACCGGCGAAGGAGCGGGACTGTGTGTGACCTATCGTCCCGCAAGTCTGACCAGCCCGATCACCTGTGCGAATGACGTACGGGCAGCGAGCAGTAATCCGAGACCCTCTACTCTGAGCGTACCACTCACGCAGCTGCAGGGGCGTAAGGGTCTCACGCGGACATCGCTGGAGCTGTATCTGGCCAACGCCAGAAACTCCCCACCGAGCAGCTCCGCCTAGACTGCTACTGCGGCCGCCGCCACCACTCCCACTGCTGCCACCACCGCCGCCACCTCTCCCACGGCTACCACGAAGAGACGCCATAGTGGAAAGGCAGGGCGGCGAACATGCACTAAGGTAGGTCGAGGCGGCGCACTGTCAGGGAAAGGCGGCGCGCGGCCAGAAGGGCGGCGTGCGGCCAGAGCAGGGCAATAGCAAGCAGTAGCTCCTAGGGCAGCAGCACCTCTTTTTTTTATTATTATTATTATTTTATTTTAGGGTTTGGCAGGGCACGCTGGGCACTGCAGAGGCGGCTCGCGGGCTGCAGGGGTGGCTCGCGGGCTGCAGGGGCAGTGCGCTGGCTGCAAGAGGCAGGCGCGCTGGCTGCAGGGGCGGTTCGCGGGCTGTAGGGGAGGCTCGCGGGCTGCAGACGGGCGGCGCGCGGGCTGCAAGGGTCTGCGTGCGGGCGGCTTGCACGGGGCGGCGCGACGCGGGGCGGGCAGGGGCGGCGCGCAGGCAGGCAGGGCGGACGGGCATCGCGGCGGGCTGGGGCAGCCCGCTCTGGCGACGTGACGGGCACGGGCAGGGCCGACGGGCGACGCGACGGGCTGCAGGGGCGCGCGATGCGACGGGCTGCAGGGGCGCGCGACGGGACGGGCTGCAGGGGCGCACGGCGCGGCGGGCAGCAGGGGCGCGCGACGCGATTAGCAGGGCAGGCGCTTACCAGGAGCGGGTGCAGGGCAGGGCCGCGATGGGCGGTTAGGTCAGGGCCGCAACGGGGCGGCTGTAGGGCAGAGCCGCGACGAGGCGGCGGCAGAGCAGGGCCGCGACGGGGCGGCAGCAGGGCAGGGCCGCGACAAGGCGGCTGCAGGGCAGGGCCGCGACGGGTGGCGGGTGAGGCAGGCGCGAGGCGCGCTTCGGGCAGGGCAGGAAGAAATTATCGTGGTGGGCCCAAAAAACAAAAAAAAACGTTCCCACTAGGGAACCTGCTCTGAAACCATGTGAAAGATAGAAAACGAGAATGAACAAACTAGCAGCAAAGTGGGTACAAGTAGGAAACCCTAAATGTGTTGTACCCCATATGAGCTACCCCACTACAGCCTACACAGACTATAGCATATAAGTTTGACAGCAGTTGCCAGTTGGCAGGTATTTACTAAACGAATATTATTTATAGCTTCCATTCTTATGGTCGTCTTCTCCACTGAACTGTGACGGTCGAAGGATTGTTTTTGCTCTTCTATGTACGCACAAATTTTGTTATCACCTTTATCACTAATCCTACCTTCTACGTTTTCGTTTCCTGTGTTATGCCAGATAAATCATAGGCATGTTTATAAACGCTTTCGTTTGCATTTGGCTTCACAATGTTATATCATGGCTCAGACTTTGTAGGCTGTTGAAGCTGGTTGGATATTTGTTTCTCATGTTTTGTTTATATTCAGTGTAAAATTGTACTGTATGTAATGCTATCAAACTTAAAGCCATAATCAGGAGACCCAATTGCAATGTAAACAAACCCATAATTGCCCTGGAAACGTCTTCACAACTGTCTCGAAACTGTCCCGCTTGCAACCCGAAACTGTCCCGAGAGAGTCTTGGGGGACATTGCTGCCAGGGCTCTCCCTAGCAGAAATTTCTTGTCTGTTTGTCTTATTATCAGACGGTTTTTTTTTTGTTCATCTGGTTTTCCAGAAAATGGTATAGGTTTCATCTGATTAGACATAAATTGTTTTTGCGTTTATCTGATACATAAACCTGTGAATGAAGAATAGGTTTGCGGTTTGTCTGATGAATCAGGAACATGTTTCGGTTTCGTCTGATACCGAGACATTTCCCTTTAGGCGTGATGTAGGCGTGAACTCGGCATGCGTGCATGCAGGGTGTTCCTTGATTACCGGATCGTGAACACCATTCATTTGGCACCTCGTCCCTACACGTGACCCACTTGGCCACCATTGCAGACGAGGCTGCAGCAGAAGTTGATTCTGACCAACACTAGGTAAGTCTCCGTCATACATTGCCCACGGAGGACCGGGTGTGTTGTACGTGGCCTGATAAGAAGGGTCGGATTGGTCAGTTTAGAGACAGCAGAGCCACTTCCACATCACAGAGAGCTGAATTCGGCGCCTACCGAAGCTTCAAGAACCAAGTTGCGGTGGCATCACACAAACAAGTGGAGCCACCCATCCCATGGTCCTTTCGACATGCGCGCTTCGTCCAAGGCAGGTGTAGATGCACGGCTGCTGGGGTTTCAGGGGTCCCTTCTTCTCCAACCCCCTCTTCCAACAGCATTCACGCTAGTATCTGCTGCTGTGACGCTACCATTTTCGAAACCCGTCCGTCTCCTCGCCATGGCGGACGACGAGGACGCAGGGGAAAAGTCCCCCCCGCAGGCCCGTACACCTATGACGGGCCTGGACTTTCTGCGTAGGGCCCCGCCAGCCGCCGTAGGAACCGCCCGCGTAGTAGCCGTTGAAGTGGCGCCCGTGAATTGGCCCGAGCTTAATGCTCGTCGGGTTTCAAGCAGCACACCTCCCGTCTCGCCTAGGCCTCCTCACCGTCCCCTGCAATCTCAGAGAGCGCAGTCGTCCGATAGTGCCGCACGTTCACAGGCCGCGCCACTGTTCCATAAGGTGGGCCGCTTCACCCAGAGCACCCTCCGTTATGCAAAGACTGGTGTGCCTCACGTACGCATAGTTTCTCGACCCACCGTGCGGCCTACGCGAGAACAGGCGTCTTCACGGCCAGCTGCACAGGCCGGGAATCAAGACGGAGATCCTGGTCCGTCTACCATTCACGTATCTGATCCTGACAGTCTGATGTCAAAGCTCGAAACGACGGCGAAAGTTTTTTGGAAGGGCAAGTTCAGCAGGCTTGTCATTGCACAGAGGAAAGATGGCACGCCATGCATGAAGTGCAGCATCTGCATGGCTCATGGTCCTCCGCATTGGAAGTACGGGAAGTTTGGCGAGGGCGGGGTTGACATTCAGCGGCAGTCGATGCGGAAGCATAGCCTCAGTAAGAAGCATCAGGACGCGGTCGACAACCAGCTGCGCGCGGAAGGCGCTAAGGCCGCGCAACGAAGCATCGCGGTTTTCGAGAATGCGGACAAGGAGACGGCTCGGTTGAAGCAACTCCTGCGCACGGTGCTGTATATCTGCAAGTCAGATTCCCCAATTTCAGGCTTTGCAGATCTTGTGCGCCTGTTGGCAGATTTGGGGACGCCTGATATACCTGCTAAGGCGATCGGAACGTATCAATCCGAGTACGTATCGATGTGGATCTTGCCTGGCTTGTTTGTTTTAGTCACAACCATCTTACCTTTCCTGTGGTTGCTGCGCAGGTACGGCTTCCGCGAGATGACCCAGGCACTTGTGACAAACCTGAAGCAACAGCAGATGCACCACGTCCAGTCTTCACCGTTTCTCGGCATTCAACTGGACGAGAGCACAGACCGTCGAAGGGGTAAACACATGATTGTTTACTTATCCTTCCTCCACGCTAAGGTCGTGACCGAATTCTTCGGCCACTTGACGGTGGAGAGGTGCGACGCTTCGTCACTTCTGACCGTGCTGCTCGCTCACCTGGAGACTACTGGTGTTGACATCAGCAAACTCAGCGGCATCGCGACGGACGGCGCAAGCGTGATGACCGGTTGTAATACTGGAGTGGTAACTCAACTGCGGATGCGAGTCCCGCACCTTGTGACGTGCCACTGCATCGCACACAGGCATGTATCTCCCATCTGTCAGTGTCGGTTAGTATGTTCACTCGGCCACTGTTCTGATGCCTTGTCTATTTTTTTGTAAACCTGTGACGTTACAGGGAGGCACTCGCAGCGCAGGACGCCGCGGAAGCAGTGCCTGATCTCAACATCGTCGATCAGGTTGTTCGGAGCGTTGCCGATAGCCTCGGATGCAAAATCATTGTGCACTCACGATTCATCGAGCTGCAGAAAATCCTCCACGCAACTACCCTTGAGATGCAGGGGATAAAGGACGTCCGTTGGCTGTCACGCAGCGACGCGATCCAGCGGCTCGCGGCTGTACTTCCTGCGACTATTGTTGTGCTTTGGGAGCACGACAAAGATGCCTACAAGATGGTCACTAGCTTCAAGTTTCATTTCTTCTTGTTCTTCCTGGCAGATGTGCTCAAGGAGCTCAACGAACTGAACCAGAAGTTTCAGCGGCGGACGGTGAGACTCTAACGCTGGTTACGCGTGAATCTGATTATGAGAACTGTGAATCATACTAACATCCCCCTTGTGATATGTGCAGGTGGACATCACCCGTGTGACCGCCATGGTGCACAACACGGCAGGAAGGCTACGTGCTCGCTACATTGAATACGGCGTGAACTACGCCGAGGACAGTCATTTGCTGAGCCGCTTCCTGGAGGAGCATGGCCCCACTTCCAAGAGGGAGGTTACGGTATCAGGCACGGATGGGGAAGGCAATCCAGTCACCCACAAATTCGATCTTCATGAGGAAGCAATCAAGGGCCAGAAGTCCAAGGGCGACATGGAGTCTTGCATCTCTGTCACTTCCCTGTTTGCGCAGGAAGTGGTAAAGCACCTCCTTAAGCGGATGGAGAGCCTTGATTCGCTCGTCGGCGCGAAGCTGTTTCTGCCTGACGCTTACCCCAATGGCCCTACGAAGAGAGAGCGCGTCTGCCAGGAGTGGTTCCAGTCTCTTCGCGAGCTCTTCAAGGCGGACAAGTTTGTTCTGCCAGGTACGCTGCTGTTGACGTCTTTTGATGTTGACAGTCCGAGCCATGCACTAACACCTCCCCCCCCCCCCTCCCTCCCCCACCCACCGCCATCTGTATGTGCTCGCATGTGTGATCATGCAGGTGTCAGCTGGAAAAGGGCGGCACGAGAACTCGTGCCCTTCACGCGGATGATGTACTCCCAGTACAAGGACCAGACGTTCCATTCGAGCCTCAAGCACATGCTGCGCAGCGAAGACTGGGAGTCTTCGTACCCCAACATGATTCGCATCTGGGTCGCTGTAGCCGTGCTCCCCTTAAGCACCGTCGAGTGCGAGCGGGGCTTCTCGAGGCAGAATGTGATAAAGTCATGGCTTCGCACTAACCTGTGCAATGCTCGCTTGGCAGACCTGATGTGCGTCTCTTTGCTGCAGTACGAGCCGATCTGGGACGAAGTGGTGACCACATGGAGGAGGGGGAAGAAGCGTCGACCGGCCAAGGAAGTAACGATGCAGGGACGCCTTCACGAGAGAGCTCCGAAGAGGAAGGCTGAAGGAGAAGGGAAGAGCCCTGCAGAGGCATCAGAGGACGAGGAACTGACAGAGGCGGAGAAAAAGAGGAAGAAGGGAAAGGCACGTGCAGTTGACAGTGACGAGGAGGACGAGGAGGAAGCAGGTCTTGATGTGCGGGCGACTGTGACCCTGGTGTCGTCAGACACTGAGTGAAAAGCTGTATCTAGGCTACCTAGTTAGTGCTGAAACTTAATAAGTTAAGTAGGATGTTCACTTCAACCAGACCTTGCCGTAGACTGTGTACTGATCAGAACATTTACGTATTCTTATACTTTACTATCAGTTTCAATAATAACTCCACGCCCGGCAAGAGTAACCTGAATTCTGATAGGAAAAAAAAACATCTGATGCATCAGGATAAGTTTTTCAAAAATTCTGATGACGCATACACGGAAAAATTGGAAATTCCATCAGGCGGCCTCAAATGCTAGGGAGAGCCCTGATTGCTGCGGATGGTTTGGGGACAAATTTGAGTTGGTCCCGAAAGTGTCTTTCGGGACACTTTTTCACCTGTCCCGAAAGTATTCGCAAAGAATCTTCTGGGATGGTTTCGGGAGATTACATTTTGGAGATGCCAGCATGATCCAAAGGAGTGGTCAGTGTATATATTTTTTAAAATCCCCGAGGAGCGTATCATACTTAATGTTCATTACCGATACAATAATATTCCTCTACCGTTCTTGTTTGGAATAAGCCGGTAAAATCTGTCCAGCACTGATTCCAACAGTGTACTTCTCCTGCTCCTGCTGGTACAAATGGTAATGTGATGCATGGTAGCGAAGAAAGGATCAGCTGGGGACAGTAAGACACGAATTTAAAGGCAGAATATGGAGAGGGGTGAGGGAGGGGAGGAAGGAGCACAGAACAAGAGACGAGCGAAGTCGAATTTAGGCATAGAAGATACAAGCATCAACACGAGGGGGTGTAAGGATGGAGAGCAAGAAATTAGGTAGAGGAAACAAGGGCGAGAAGAGCAAGCACTACAATTCTCACAACTGGAATAATATTATGCAGTTTTGCGTCATACACAAGGCGACAGTGAGAAGTGGGAATAGTACGGAGTGTGAGGGGAAGAAGAGTGGAGCAGGCAGTGCAGTGGTACACAAGGATGTTCTTTTTAGTGGATAAAACGGGGGACAGATAATGCAACGTCTAGAAAACAGGAAGGAGTGTGAGGGAGAGGAGCAGAGTGGGCAGTGGTGCACAAGGGAGTGGGGGAAAGGGAAGTGAGCGTAAGGGAGAGTGAAAAGCGAGCGAGGGATGGGGAGTGAGAAAAGGGATGCAAGGGAAGGGTAGTGAAGGAAGGGGCGCAAGAGAAGAGCAAGTGAAGGAAAGTTTTTTGAGAAGTGGGTTGGGACATTTTAAAAAAACCGAGTGCGTGAGGAGGTGGGAGGGGGAGAGAATAATTACCTTGCACTGACCAAGGGTGTGTTGTTGTAGGGATTAAGTGAATGGCAGGAGCACTGAATGGACGATGGGAGATGGCTCATGTGGAGCTACAAGTGATTGTGAATGCTCATGAATTAGGATCCTCCTCCTGCTGCTGCTGCTGCTGCTGCTGATGCTGATGCCATTGGCAGGAGCCTGTTGATGAAGGATTCAGAGAATGGCAGGAGCATGGGAGGGACAACGAAGGATGGCTGTTGCAGAGCTACAAGTGTTCGCGAATGCTCATGAATCAGGATGCTGCTGCTGCTGCTGTTGCTGCTGCTGCTGCTGCTGCTTTGCGGTGCCTTAAAAGAGGGATGATGGGGGATGGCTTATGTGGAGGTACAAGTGTTGGAGTTTTGAGACGTCTCAAAGTGAATGGCAGGAGCACTGAAGGGACGATGGGAGATGGCTCATGTGGAGCTACAAGTGATTGTGAATGCTCATGAATCAGTCTGCTGCTGCTGCTGCTGCTTTGCGGCGCCTAAAAAGAGGGATGATGGGGGATGACTCATGTGCAGCTACAGGTGTTGGATTTTTTAAACGTCTCAAAGTGGATGGATGGGGGGTGGATGGGGGGTGGATGGGGGGTGGATGGGGGGTGGATGAGGGGTGGATGAGGGGTGGATGGGGGATGACTCGTGTGCAGCTACAAGTGTTCATAAATGCTCATGAAACAGGATCCTGCTGCTGCTGCTGCTGCTGCTGCTGCTGCTGCTGCTGCTGCTGCTTCTACCGCTGCTTCTGCAAAAAGGCCACCCGTGTGAAGAGAGGAGGTATTGAGGATAGGAGATTGTCAGAATCTGAGCTGGAACAATTGACGGGGTGATAGATATCAAGACCAATAAGCACACAATAAATCAATGGGAATTTACACCCCCTCCCCCCCCCCCCCCCCCCAAAAAAAAATAAAAAAAAAATCAAGCAAACAAACACCAAGCGCGGTATTCTCTCACCAAGCGGATGGGGGAGGGAAGGAAACCCTGATTCTAACAAGGGAAGACAAAAAAAAAAAAAAAAAAAAAAAAAAAAAAACCTGCCAGAAAATTGACGAATAAGAGTCACGTCTATGAAGCAGTGGTCACAAGTTATGTCGGACAGGCAGGGTGGCTTGTTACTTACCCAACAAAACAGGGTATACACGCCGCCAACCAACCCTACCATGCATGGTGCGTGCATGGTGGGATTTCGGGGGGTTCTTATAATGAAATAGGGGAGAGGGGGTGAAACGGGAGCAGAGGGAAGAGGGGGTGAAACGGGAGCAGGGTGAAGAATGGGAGGGACGGGGCCAGGGGGGAGTGGGAAAGAAACGGGGGCAGCAGGGGGGGAAGATGTGGGGGTGAGGCTCAGGGACTGGGTGGTTAGTGTGAAGGTGGTTGGGTGATTTATCTGGAATAGGGTTGACAAGGGGGAGAATTTGGGAGAACTTTTGTGTAGGGTAAGGATGAATGGTTGAGGTTCGTTCACAGCATAATGCAGGTTCTTTCTCTACTCCCCTGCATTGTACGTCACCGAAATGCACCCGTTTGTATCACTCCCATCATCCTCGTCCCACTCCCATCCTTTTCTTCTGCGCTTGAACCGAAATGTAGGAAAACAACTTGGTTGAACCCGCCACAAACACGCCACTGCGTTCAGCTCCTTGCTCTCAACCCCGCCGCTTCGCTGACGTCACTCCCATCGGCCTGCGCTGATACTCCCTTTCCTCCCCCCCCCCCCGCCCCCCCCCTCCCCATCCCCCCCCTCGTCCGCGCGCCCCGCTCTCCCCGTCGCTCCCCATCTGGAGCGCACCGATGCGGGCTCCGCCACGCGGGAGGCGATCTCCGCCGCGTTTTCCTTCCGCCATTGCCGCAAGAACGACAGCGCAAACCCTTCCCGCAAGGAGCTGGCGGATCGTGCATCAGCGCTATTTGCAACATCCGCACTAGAAGCATTTGCGATATTCGCATCAGCGCCAGCGCTGAGCTGGTCTGATGCGTGAGGTTGGGCGGCGAAGGCAACCTGTATGTGTAACGAGCTCGTCCCTACCGAGGAATTCACATGGACGGAGGGAGTGGCTGGTGCGACAAGCGGCGAACACTGTGTGCGACAGCGCATGCTCTGCGATTCAGAATTTGCTGTAGACTTCTAAGCTCGGTTGAGACTACGATGAACCGTAGAGACGTGAGGCGCAATGGTGAAGATGCGTCGAAGCATCTGATTCGCTTGAAAGGGTGAAGCGAGATTCGAAGCAGAAAATCTCTGATTCAAAGGGGAGCAGCGGATCTGCAACGTCTTGGCATCGGCGCGTATGGCTACTGCAGGTCGCAAGGGCCGCCTCGATTACCGCTCGCCGCATGCCGCAAGGGAGGTATGGCGAAACCTGGTAGCAACGCGTTCAGATTTACTACTGGTATAGAGCAGAGCCCGCACAAGATGCTTGGTTGGGGTTGTACGCGGTAAAGCCCGTACATGGACGTTTCTAAGCAGGTGCACTTAAGACTCAATGAAATGCAGCACATTGTTCTGCCATATGGGTCAACTTTTTACAGGAGATTGAGAATATTTGTTTTTAAACTAAATCCCAGTTTCTTATTCAACTATTCACACAATTACGCAAGTACGGTAGGTTTGTCTGCCCCTTGAGGACTACATTTCTTGCCGAGTCAGGGAGATGTTTTGTTTTGCGATTTTCAACTTTGTGGCTCTTCATCTCAGAATAGGAATGCAACGGAATGATTGGAATCAGGGTTTGCAAGGGTACAAATAGGAATCCTACAAAAGCTATACTCTCTAGGGAGTACCTCACTGCAGCCAATCATAACATTAACATTTGACACACCCCCATAGGCTAAGTGAGGGACATCAGAGCAAGCAAGGTGAAACAAAACGGTCACAAGACCAGTCAAGGCAAGAAGCAAGGCAAGCTCAGGGTGGATCTCAAGGATACCACACAAATTCAGAGCACAAGCAAGCGGCCACAAGGCCAGTTCAAGAGTTCACTAGGATATAAATAGGAGAACACAACAAGCAGAGCAAGCAACAAGACTACAGCAACCGAGGGCCTACCTCAACAAGTCCCAACTGCACACAGAACCTGTGGTGATCACCAAGCGCCAAGGCCTTGGTGAAGACGTCTGCAGTGTTGGCCTCTGAGGCCACAAAGTCCAGGCGTGCCTGGCCGCGTCGCTGCAGCTCTCGCAGGAGGAAGTACCTCACGTCAATATGCTTCACTCTGCTCTCCAGTCGAGGCTCTCGACACAGGAGGATCATGGCCTTGTTGTCAGCGTACAAGGTCGGTGCAGAGCGAGGCCGCTCACCAAGGTCGGCGAGCAAGAAGGTCAACCAGCGAAGCTCCTGTGCCGCCATGGCACCCGCGTAGATCTCTGCCTCTGCACTGGAAGTAGCCACAGACGACGACCGTGTAGACCTCCACGACACAGCACCAGCTCCCAGACTGAAGCAGTAACCCTGAGTCGAACGCTGAGTCTCCACGTCGTCAGCATAGGAAGAGTCACAGTGACCAGTCAACGCCACTGGCTGAGTCCCTCCAAGCACAAGCCCCATGCCTGATGTAGTCGCCAGGTACTTCGCCACCCTCACAGCAGCTGTCCAGTGGACAGGACGGTGTCTCCCAGTCGCAACAAAGTGAGAAAGGATGCTGAGGGGAAAGGCGAGGTCCGGTCGAGTACAAGTCATCAGGTACATGAGGCAGCCCACCAGCTCTGCGTAGGGTCCACTGGACT